AATGATGTATTATAACAAAATGTAACGTACAAAGCCCTGGAATTAGAACACCAAAATGGACAAACACACTCATCACTTCCCAAAATGAAAATATATATATATTGAAGAAAATATTCAAGTCTTGGGTTGCAGTATTGAAAGATTCTAAGGGAAAATGGATACTGAATGGTTTGAAATAAAAACAGTGCATGGCAGTTTTGTATCCTTTCACAATATCTATTCAAACTTTATGTTGAGCAAATTATCTGAGATGTTGGATTGTATGAAAAAAAACTGGGACCAGGAGTAGAGGAAGAGTCATTAACAAACAATGATATGCACATGCAGATGATACAACTTGGTTGCTGGAAGAGGGCATAAATTACTCACTGGTAAAAATCAAAGACTACAGCCTTCAGAATGGATTACACCTCAATGTAAAGAAAACAAAGATCCTCAGAACTAGACAAATGAATTGTTGTTGTTGTTGTCAGGTGCCATCAAGTCAGAACCAACTCATAGCGACCCCATGCACAGCAGAACGAAACAATGTCCGATCCGGGGCCAACCTCACTACCGCTACCACACTTGAGTCCATCAATGAATGGTTTAAAATCTGAAGACATTTGCACCAGGTTTATATCCTTTCACTATACTTTATCTGTATGCTCAGCAAATAACCCAAAGTTGGGTTATTTGAAGAAGAATATGACGGCCAACTTTGGAGGAAGAGTCATTAACATACTGTGATATGCAGATGATACAACCTTGTTAGCTGTAATCAGAGAGGACTTGAAACACTGATGAAGATCAAAGACCTCAGCTTTCAATACGGATTGCGACTCCGACTCAGTGTAATGAAAACAAAACTCCTCTCAATTGAACCAATAAATAATACTAATAAAAATGTAGAAAAGATTGAAGTTGTTATGTACTTTAATTTGCTTGGATCCACAATCAATGTCCATGAAAGCAATAGTCAATAAATCAAATGACGTATTGCATCAGGCAAACCTGTTACAAAAGACCTGTTTAATCTTTAATGTGTTCAAGAGCAAAGATGTTAGTGTTAGGTCTAAAGTGTACCTGACCAAATCACCTCTTAAGTGTAAGTTGCACAATAAATATGGAAGACCATAAAGAATTTTTGTGTTTGATTTATGGTGTTAGTGAAGAATGTTGAAAGTACCATGGATTTCTAAAACAAACAAATCTGTGTTAGAAGATGTACAGCTATAATGCTCCTTAGACACAAGGATGGGAAGACCTTGTTTCTCATAATTTGGATCAGGAGTCCATGTAGATGGACATCACACTTGACGAAGTGGAAAGTCAATGACAAAGAGGAAGACCTCCAGCAAGATGAATTGACAGAATACCAACAATGGGCTTAAACATAATAACAACTGTGAGGATGACACAGGACTGGACAGTGTATTGTTCTGTTGTGCATAGAGCCACTGTGAGTCAATACTGACACTATAACACCTAAGGACAACAATAAGCATCTTTGGGTGGCATATCTCTAAAATTTCTCTGTTTGATACATTAGCTCTAGTTTCAAAGGCTGTTTTATATTCAAACATGCTAGGAGCATGTTTGAAGGTTTAAGCTATATTGTAATACTAGGCATTCATGGAGAATTGTCTCCTGACATTCACTAGCACCAAATAGTAGTAAAATTATACCATAGGATTAATTGAGGACAAAGTTACTAGTAAGAAAAGTATTGTTGTTAAGTGCAGTTGAGTTAGTTTCGAATCATAGTGACCCTGTATAGGGTTTCCAAGGAGCAACTGTTGAGTTTGAACCACAGACCTTGCAGCTCAAATTTACTTTTAAGTCCAGTGCTTATCCTACAGTGCCACACCAGAACTCCAAGAAAAGCATAGAGCACACAAAGTGTCCTGGATTCTCATTATTCCATACTAAACCCTAGACATAGATGTTCTATGTGAACCATAGCCAAAATTTCAGTGGAGAAGAGACTATATCAGTACCAGCAGGATAGACATGATAGCAAGCAAGCTGGGGAAACACCCTGACCGCATACCACATAACACAGAACAGCTCAAATTTCGAGGGATAGGAATCACCTATTTTCCCTAAGTAACTAAAACTATATAATGAAACCCCGGCACTTAGGCACAATACCAGAGGTCTGCATAACAAGGGTCCTGGAAGAAGTCTTGGAAAGCTTCTTTATACTCAAATTCTGATATTACCCAGTTCTTCCTGTCTCTTCAGTTAAATCAGTGCTATCATAAGCCTAGGTGGTGCAGTTGGTTAAGCACTGGGCTGCTAGCTTCAAGGTCAGATGCTCAAACCTATCAGTGGCTCTGAGGAAGAAGGCTAACACTGGTCCTGAAAAGATGTACAATCTCAGAAATCCTAGAAAGTTAGTTCTTTTCTTTCTTATTTGTTGTTGTTGATAAGTGTCATTGAGTCTGTTCTGACTCATTGTTGTTGTTATGTGCCGTGGAGTCGGTTCCAACTCATAGCGACCCTGTACAGGATTTCCGAGGCTGTAAATCTTTACAGGAGCAGAAAGCCTCATCTTTCTCCCGCGGACAGCTGGTAGTTTCGAACTGCTGACCTTGAGGTTCACAGCCCAATAGCAACCCTCTATTAGGTTTCTGAAGGGCTGCTGGTAAATCTGAACTGCTGACTTTGTCATTCGAAGTCCAGAGCCGATCCTATGACACCACATCAGGAGTTATATAGGGTCCTCTAAAACCAGGAACTGACTCATTGACAGTGAGCTTGGTTTAGATAGACTAAGATACAAAGAGTGGGCATGGATTGAGCATCTATGGTCTCCCAGTTTCTCTCTTGCGAAAAGAAAAAGACTTGTTTTTTGTGAGACAGAAAATAAAACTTCCAGATTATGTTTAGTTTTTTTGTGTTTAACAAGAATACATGTGTGCATTTCTTCTATACTATGTTGTCACCTTTCTTCCTGTAAGACTACATGGTAAATTAATTGAAATGTGACAAGGTGACATTGGAGGATTAAGTACAAACTTTGTGAAAATGTATATGCAAATTAGGCTACTAAGATCTAGAACCCTTTCATCCTATCCTAAGGACTCCTGGTATAGAGCTGAGAGTTATATGCTGGACTGCAAAGTTGGTTTGAACCACAAAGTTGGCAGTTCAAGCTCACCAGCCACTCCATGGAAATCCTATACAAGGTCACTATGAGCTGGAACCAGCTCAATGGCACTTAACAACAACAACAGCATCCTATCCTATGCAGAGAAAAACAACAATACAACACACACACAATACACAATAGTATAAAGAAAATTCCAAGGCATTTGTCCCCAAACTGACCTGAAACAGTGATAAAGCAACTCTGTGTATGATTTCCGTCTTCTTTTGATGGTTCCTATACCATTCATTATTTTGTCCATAGAATCCTTCAATGTTGCAACTAATTCAATGCTTTCTTTCTTTATTTTTTTTTTTTCCAGCTTAAGGAATGCTGTGCATGTTCTTTCCTTTTGATTTTCTAACTCTGGGTCTGCACATTTCATTATAATATTATATCTTCTTAAGCTGTCCTTTGATTTTTTTGATAAACTCTCACTTATCATTCCTTCTGGCTACTTTTGCTTCTCTGTTTTCTGAAGCTAATTTCAGTCACTTCTGATATCCATCTTTGTTTTTTTTTCTTTCTTTCGTTCCTGTCTTTCTAATGACCTTTCACTTCCTTCAAATATGATATTCCTGATATCATCCTACAAATGTTCAGGTCTTAGTTCAATTAGTCAAATCTAAAACTGAGATGGTCTCAATTCTGGTGGGATATACTCAAGGTCATGTTTTGGTTCTATGGAGTTCTAATTGTCTTTAGCTTCTACTTGAACTTTTTGATGGTCTGTTCCACAGCCAACCACTGGTCTTGTTCTGACTCCTAATATTGAGCTTCTCCTTGGTCTCTTTCTAAAGATTCAGATGACTCAATTCCTGTGTATTCCTTCTGATAAGGTTCATGAGTATATTCATCATTTATGTTGTCAAAAATAAATATTTTCAATGAATAAGTCATTGGTCTTGCACAGTTCTAATATGTTGTTGTTGTTAAGTGCCATCGAGTCGGTTCCGACCCATAGCGACCCTGTATAGGGTTTCCGAGGGTGTAAATCTTTACGGGAGTAGAAAGCCTCATCTTTCTCCCACGGAGCAGCTGGTAGTTTCGAACCGCTGACCTTAAGGTTCGCAGCCCGATTCGTAACCACTACGCTACCAGAGCTCTAATATGTAACCCCCTGCATATTTCCTATCACTAAGGTAATGTTTTTCAACTACTTACCCTTTCTCTTTGTCTCCAATTTTCATATTTCAATTACCAGTAATTATCACTGCATCCTGATTGCATGTTTGAGCAATTTCAGAGTGAAGAATTTGGCAGAAATCTTCAATTTCTTAATCTTTGGATTTAGTGATTGAGATCAAATTTGAATAATAATCTTTTTTCTTCTTTTTATTTTTTTTGTTAGAACAGCTCAGCAAAGTAAAATTCTGGTTTATCGTTGGACAACATTGTTTCACACATACATCAAACAGGCCAAAACAAACAAACAAACAAACAGCAACTTCATAGACAAAAAATAAGGAACAGAAACTTTATCTTTGGCCTTTATTAACCATCTCATACAAACTAACCACTTATAGTACAGCTGAGTACATACACAAAAAACAGTTACTGGAATGTTCGGAATTAGATTGTAATTTTTTTTTGTTTTGTTTTTACTTTTGCTTACAAGGTTTTTTTTCTTCTTCTTCTTTGCGATTATAATGGTCACACCACAAACAAAGTCAGAATTAGGATACAGAACACTCCAAAGTCTGGTTTGGTCATCCGAGATCATTAAAAATGGCTGACCCCTAACAATATGTACAAAACTGTAAAATGTAAATAAAAAATACAAACACATTTTTCTTTTTAAAGTACTTTTAAGAAAAAGGGCAGGGCCTTGGAAGTTTTGGTTCTTTTTTTCTCCCCGGTTGCAAATTTACGTTGTGGTTTTGGTTGGGTGGTGATGAGTGCGTGTCATTTGCGGGTGAGCCTGCCCAAAGTGGGCGGGTGGGACTCTCTGCTCAAAAGTGACCACAGTCCTCTGCTTCTTGGTGTCAACGTTATCATCCTCATCTTCTTTAGCTGCCCGTTTGCCCGTAGCTGCCTCGGCCTCCTCATCTTCATCTTCATTTTCTTGTTCACCATCACCTTCTTCCTCTTCCTCCTCTACCTCACTGTCAGCCTCCTGTTCCCTGTTTTCCTCGTTAGCGTTCCCATTAGCGGGTACGTCTCTTCCGTTTTCTGTTTCTTCCACAACCTCCTTCTTCTCCTTTAAGTCCTTGGTGGCGATCTTGGGACTGGTGTCCACAGCCCGTCTGACATGGTGGGGCACGCCGGTGATCGGATACAAAGGGTGACAAAGAGAGTTCGAGTTCAGGGACTCTGTGAGAGAGCAGCTGGAGAGGTGGCTGCTGGAAACCTGGGAAAAATGCAAAGATGGCTTTTCAGAGCAGCCAAGGGGGGGCTTGAGTAACAATCTTTTGCATTAGTAGGGTCTTCTTTGTTAGGTGTAATATATTATTTTATCATTGACAGCATTGTACTTCAGGATAAAAATAGAATTGGTCTTTTTAATAATGAATGTGATGCTATTCCCATTTAATTTGTTGTTCCTGGTGTCTTACTTATCTGTTGTTGTTAAGTGTCTGAATCAGTTCCAACACACAGGGACCCTATGTCCAACAGAAGGAAACACCACTCAGTCCTGCACATCCTCACAATTGCTGTCACACTTGAACCCATTTTTGCTGCCAATGTAGCAATCCATATTTTTGGGGTCTCTGTTTTGTCCTCTATTGCTCCACGTTACTAAATATGATGTTCTTCTCCAGGGACTTATCCCTCCTGATAATGTGTCCAAAGTATGAGAGACTTCTAAGGAGCATTCTGGTTGTACTTTATCCAACACAGATTTATTTGTACTTATGGAATTCCATGGTACCTTTAATATTCTTCTCTAATATGATAATTTAAATGTATGAAATCTTGTTGTTATTAAGTGCTGTCGCATCAGTACCAACTCACAGCCACCCTGTTTAGAATTTCCAAGGAGCGGCAGGTAAGCTTGAATCACTGACTTTGTGGTTCAAAGTGACCTTGTAGTCCAGTGCATTAACCCACAGTGCCATACCAGGACTCCTAGAGTCTTCCTTGTTCATTTTCCAACTTTCACAAGCATATGAGACGATTGAAAATATCATGGCTTGGGTCAGGTGTGCTCCGTACTCAAACTGATATTTTTGTTATTGAACGTTTTAAAGATGTCTGTTGTAGCAGATGTGCCTAATACAATACTTGATTTGATTTCTTATTTTTTAATGTTTTATTGCGAATTATGTAATAGTTTACATGGGAGAACATTGACTTCACATTCATCCTATCGTATTTCGTTTTATTGCCATAGTTACAATCCCCTCCATGCATCATCAACTAACCAAAGGGTATACCCTGCAAGCCTACCCCATGGTCGTCAGCACACAGCCTCTCTTCCCATTCTAGGACTAGAGACCCCAGCCACTCCATCTCTCCACATCATTGTCTCTGCCTCCATCTCTGGCATCACTGTTTCTCTTGGTAAGTTCTCACACTCTTATCCCTTGATGGTCCCAGGGACCTCCACTCCTGGACTGCAAAGTCAACCAATACCCTCCTTTTGCTACAAAATGTCTACCTTTACATTTCCAACCCTCACAGTCAGTCCTGATAGCAATTATTCACTATTGTGCTACATGAGTGCTATTCCCATCTCCTTTCATCAGCCCCACCCAGACAGATTGGAAACTACTCAGTGGAGATTCTACCTTCCTCCGCATCCTGTGGATCTAGACTCCCTCTTGAAAGCTTGCAAGCCTGTCACTTCTTGCCTTTGTAGTTCACCATTTTGGGTAGCCAATGTCCAAGTTGCCCATCACTGTCTACCATGTGTACCGAGGGGTGGGGATGATCCTCGTAAAGATTTGTTCTCTCTTTTTGAGCTACTGCATCCATAGGTGTAGGTCAAGTTCATCAAATTGTATCAAATTACTCTTATTTTCCCTCTTCTTCTTCTAGTTGAGTTCTGATCATCAAGCCATTGAAGCCATGTCAAATGGGTATTATTTGCAAGTGTGGGTGTTCTTGTGCATATACCCTCACTTCTTATCCGCTGGACACTTCACTCTTCACTCTAGTCCTCTGTGACTATGTTACTGACTCTAGGCCCAGGAGTCCCCAGGTCTTGCCATACTGCTGGTCAACCAGGTCTCCAACTGAGTTCAAAGGTGTCTATTGAACATGGTAGGGCTTAGCTTGCAGCTTCATTGATGTTTTTCCCTCATTTCCTCTTATCGGTGACCAACATGGTCACCAGACAGAGCACATGTCTGCCATGTATTCCCATTAAGTCTTAGTCTTCGAAGGGGGTTTGCCCTGAGGGGACCCGACCACTTGACTTGATGTCTCTTGGGTGAACAACTTGCTTGTTTTTGTAGTAGGCAGTTGGACTGCCATTGTTGTTTTGTATTTTTCCTGTCAGTCTTTCTTTCAAGAAGTATCTTCTGTTCTTCTAGCCACTCCAGGCTGGTCTGCTTGTCCTTTCAAGTGGAAATTTCTCACCTCAGAAGATTTTGGATGCGGTTTAGGATTCCACCTATGGTCTTATGCACAGAGGCTCCACAGGAAGCCTTCTTCACTGGGCACATTGTAGCTACATTTTAGGTATTCCAATAAGTTTTAGGCAGAAGACAGACTTACAAGCTTTCTATGGGTATATTTATGGCCACTCCTTTCTCTGCCCCTCAAGTGTCCACCTTATAATGTTATGCAAGAGTAACCAAGATTCAAAAGACAGCCAAGCATCTTATCATTGTTTTCCCCCTTTGCCCATTCCAACCATGCCTCAATCCTTGTATCCCAGAGCCCTGTTATTCCAAGGTTGTGCATAATCATTATTTACCTGTGTCCCACTTAGTCCATGCAAACCTGCCTAATTGTTCTCCCATCCATTTTGTTCTTTCATTCCCCTCCCCCTTTGGTTTGATTTCTTGACTGTTGCTTCCTTGAATATTCATAGTGGATCCAAGAAAAGTTAAATCTTTGACAAATTCAGTCTTTTCTCCATTTATCATGAAGCTATTTATTGGTCCAGTTGTGAGGATTTTTGTTCTTTTTACACTGAGGTACAACCCACACTGAAGGTTGTAGTCTTTGATCTTCATCAGTAAGTACTATAAATCCTCTTTCAACAAGCAAGGTTGTATTGTCTGCATATTGCATGTTGTTAATGAGCCTTTCTCCACTACTGATGCATGTTGTTTTTCATATAATATAGCTCCTCATATTATTTACTCAGCATACAGATTAATACATATGGTGAAGAAAAAAAAAATAAAACCCTGGTGCACACCTTTCCTAATTTTAAACCATTCAATATCCCCTGTTTTGTTCAAACAACTGCCTATTGGTATATATACTAGTTCCTCATGAGCATGATTGAGTGTTCTAGAATACTGCCCAGTGCTGTCCATAACTTGTCATGATCCACACTGTCAAAATAATTTGCATAATCAATAAAGAATAGATAAGGAACTTTTTAAAGTATTGAAGAGCAGAGATGTCAGCTTGAGGACTAAGGTCCCAGGCCATTGTGTTTTCAATAGCCTCATATGGATGCGAAAGCTGGACAGTGAATAAGGAGGATCGTAGAAGAATTGATGCCTTTGAGTTGTGGTGTTGGAGGAGAATACTGAGGGTGCCATGGACTGCCAAAAGAACCAATAGATCTGTTTTGGAAGAAGTGCAGCCAGAGTGCTCCTTGGAGGCCAGGATGGCTAAGCTTCGTCTCTCCTACTTTGGACATGTAGTCCGGAGGAAACAATCGTTGGAGAAGGATGTCATGCTGGGTAGGGTGGAGGGTCAGAGAAAAAGAGGAAGACCCCCAACGAGATGGATCGGCCAGGTGGCATCATTGATGGACTCGGGGGTGGCAGTGGTGGTGAGGTTGGCCCAGGATCGAGCATTGTTTCGTTCTGCTGTGCATGGGGTCGCTATGAGTCGGTTCCATCTCGATGGCACCTGACAACAACAACAAGCATCTTTCTGGCATTATCTGCTTTCAGCCAAAATCCCTGTGATATCAGTATTTATATCCCTCATTCTATGTCCTTATCTGAATCTGACTTAACCTCTGGCAATACCCTGTCAATGTAGTGTTGTAGCCATTTTTTAATTACCTTCAGCAAAATTTTACTTCGATGTGATATTTTAATATTGTCCTATGATTTCCAATTCTGTTTGTTTACCTCTTTTTGGAATAGTCACAAATCTGAATCTCTTCCTATCGATTGGCCAGGTAACTCTTCCAGATTTCTTGGCATAGATGAGTGAGTGCCTCCAGTGCTACATCAGTTATCAAAAGATTTCAATCTGTATTCCATCAATTCCCAGATCCCTTTCTTTGCCAATGCGTTCAATGTACATTGGACTTCTTCCTTCAGTACCACAGACTCTTGATTGTATGCTAAACTCTTGAAATAGTTAAACACCGACAATTAGTTTTTGGTATGGTGACTCTGTGTAGTCCTTCCATCTTCTTTTCTTGCTTTCTCTATCATTCAATATTTTACACAAAGAATCCTTCAGTGTTTGTAATTCAAGGCTTGAATATTTTTCTCAGTTCTTTGACCTTGAGAAATGCTGAACGTGTTCTTCCCTTTTGGTTTTCTATTTACAGATCTTTGCATATTTTATTATAATATTTTACTTTGTCCTCTTGACCATCCCTTTTAGATTTTATCTTCAACCCTTTTATCTTCTTATTTCTTCCATTTGCTTTAGCAGCTAGTTCTGGAGAGCATGTTTCAGATTATCTTCTTATATCCATTTGGTTTTTTCTTTCTTCATTGTCTTCTTAATGACCATTTGCTTTATTCCTGTATTTTCTTATTGATATTATTCCACAATATTTCTGGGTTTTAGTCATTTGTATCTAATGCATCAGATCTATTCTTGAGATGATCTCTAAATTCAGGTCGAATATGTTCATGATCATATTTTGACTTTCATGGACTTATTTTAATTTTCTTCAGCTTCAGTCTGAACTTGAGCAATTGATGGTCTGTTCTATAATCTGCTCCTGGTCTTGTTTTTGTTAATGCTATGGAGCTTTTCTACTGTCTCTGTCCACATATTCAGTCAATTTGATTTCTTTGTATTCCATCTGGTGAAGTGCATGTGCATAACCATCTTATATTAAAAAAAAAAAAAGAAGATATTTGCAATGAAGTTGTCATTGGCCTTGCAAAATTGTATTGTACATTATCCAGCTTCATTTCTATTACCAAGGCCATATTTCCCAACTACTGATCTTTCCTCTTTATTTCCAACCTTTGCATTCCAATCACCAATAATTATCCACAGATCTTGATTGCATGTTTTATCAATTTCCAACTGAAGAAGTTGTTGTTGTTGTTAATATTAAGTGCAATTCAGTCATTTATGACTCAGCAACTCTGTAGAGGGTTTCTAAGGAGTAGCTGGTTAGTTTGAACTTCTGATCTCATGGTTCAAACTAACCTTGAGGTATAGTTCTTATCCTATGGTGCCACACCAGGACTCCTGGAGGTAGAAGTTGGTAGAATTCTTCAACTGATACAGACTGGTAGAATTCTCTAATTTCATCATAACTGGCTTTAGTGCTTAGTAGGTAAACTTGAATAATAGTTGTATTCACTAGTCTTCCTTTTAGACATATGGATATTATCCTATTACAGTCAGCATTATATTTCATAATAGATCTTGAAATTCTCTTTTGATGATGATGAGACAGCATTCTACCTCAATTTGCCATTCACAGCACAGTAAACTATGTAATTCTCAGATTCAGAATGTCCAATGCCAATCCATATCCTAATGCCTAGGATATTGATGTTTATACATTTGGTTTTATGGCAACTTCCAATTTTCCTATATTCATACATTATACATTCCATGTTCTAATTATTAATTAATGTTTCCAAATGTTTATCCTTATTTTGAGTTGTGCTCCATCAGCAAATGAGGTCCCAAAAGCTTTACTCGATTCACGTCATTATGGTCAACTCTGTTTTGTGACGGTAGCTCTTCTCCAGAAGCATTTTGAATGCCTTCCAATCTTACAGGCTTGTCTTCTGGCAGTACATCTGACAATGTTCTCTTGCTATTCACCCTGCTTGAATATTCAATATTCTGGTGCTATCTGACAGTATTTCACTGCTATTCATAAGGATTTCAGTGATTAATTATTCAGAAGTATTCGGCCTCTCCTTCTTCCATGTCAGTCTTAATTGGGAAGCTCAGTTGAAATTTATTCACCATGGGTGACCCTGTCGGCATTTATAATACCAGTGAAATAGTTTCCACCAACAAAGCAACTCACAAGCCACCACAGTATGAACAACCTGACAGGTGATTTAGTTATCTAGTGCTGCTCTAACAGGCCTAACACAAGTGTTAGTTATTAATTCTCTCACAATTTAGAAAGCTAAAAGTCTGAATTCAGAGCACTGGCTCTGGGGAAAGATCCTTGTCTCATTTCAGCATCTGTAGGCCCAGCATGCTTTAGAGATTTCCATGTGTCTTAGCATCAATCTTTCCCTGTATCTACAGTTTTACAAGGAGCTCTGGTAGTGAAGTGATTTTGAGTCAGGTTGCTAACCTCAAGGTTAGCAGCTCGAAACTACCAGCTGTTCTGAAGGAGAAAGATGAGGCTTTCTGCTCCCATAAAGATTTACAGCCTTGGAAACTCTATGCAGGCTTGCTATGAGTCAAAACTAACTATGACACATCACTACCATCCCGAGGAGCTTTACAGTACAGGGACCTCAGGCCAAGGAATACACTCCACATCCAGATCTTTCTTGTTGTTAGTAGGTACCTGTTTCTTTGATAACTTCACTCCTCTTTTACATTTCAAAAAACATTGGCTCAAGATACAAGTTAATCCTGTATATTACATTAGTCTTCACTGGCATCATTTTTGGGTTTTCTTAGGTGCCATTAAATTAGTTCTGACTCATAGAGAGCCTACTGACAAGAGAACACTGCCTAGTCCTACAACAATCTCACAATCATTGCTACACTTATGCCCATTGTTGCTATTATTGTACGAATTCATCTATTTGGTGGTCTTCCTCTTTTTTGCTGACCCTCCACTTTAACAAGTATGATGTCCTTCTCCAGGGAATGGTCCCTACTGATAAAATTTCGGAAGTATGAGAGTTAGAGTTTGGCCATCCTGGTTTCATAGAAGCATTCTGGTTGTACTTTTTCAACAGATTTTTTGTTCTTCTGGCAGTCCATAATATTTTCAGTATTCCTCTTCAACACCATAACTCAAATACATCAATTATTCTAGGGTCTTCTTTATGCATTGTCCAACTTTCACATGCATATAAGACTTTTGAAAATACTATGACTTAGGTCAGGTATACCTTAGTTCTCAAAGTAACCTCTTTCTTTGCTCTTGAACATTTGAAAAAGGTTTTGTACAGCAGATTTGTCTCATGCAATAAGTTGTTTGATTTCTTGACTAATGCTTCCATGAGTGTTGATTGTGAATTCAAGCAGAATTCAAGCCAAGAAAAATAGTTGTCACAGCTTCTTCAATCTTTTCTTCAATTATAAGGATATTAATTTGTACAGTTGTGAGAACTTTTGCTTTCTTTACATTGAGGTGCAATCCATACCGAAGGCTATAGTTTTAGATCTTCATTAGTAAGTATTTTAAGTTCTCTTCACTTTCAGCAGCAAGGTTTTATCATCTGCATATTGCAGCTTGTTCATGAGTCTACCTCCAACCCTGATGCCATGTTTTTCTTTGTATTATTCAGCTTCTCGGATTATTTGCTCAGCATACAGACTGAATAAGTATGGTAAAAGAATACAGCCCTTGTGCACACCTTTCCTGATTTTTTGCCATTTAGTATCTCCTTGCTCTGTTCATGACTGTCTCTTAGTCTATGGACAGGTTTGTAATGGGCACAATATTCTGGAATACCCACTCTTGGCAATGCTATCCATAGCTTGTTATGATTCACACTGTTGAAAGCCTATGCATAGTCAGCCAATGAAAATCTTTCTGGTATTCTCTGCTTTCAGCCAAGATTCATCTGATGTCAGCAACGATATCCCTAGTTGCACATCCTCCTCTGAAACGTAATGACTTGAGTTTCTTCCGATTCCCTGTTGATGTACTGTTGCAGTCATTTTTAAACTATCTTCAGCAATGTTTTGTTTGCATGTGATATTAAAGATATTATTCAATGATTTTCACATTCTGTTGGTCTACCTCTCTTTGAAATGGGCACAAATATTGATATGTTCCAATCAGTTTGCCAGGAACCTTTCTTCCAAATTTCATTTCATAGACGAGTGAGCGCTTCCAGTGCTGCATCAGTTTGTTGGAAGATTTTAATTTGTGTTCTTTCAATTGTTGGAGCTTTATCTATTTATTTTTTCCTATGTTTTCTGTGCAGCTTGGACTTCTACCTGAGTACTTTCAGTTCTTGATAATATGACACTTTTTGGCATGGTGTAGCATGGACCATTTCAATTTCGTACAGTGACACTGTGTATACCTTCCATCTTCTTTGGATGCTTTCTGCATCATTCAATATTTTGCCCGTGGAATCCTTTTCAACGTTGTGAGTGAAAGTATGACTTTTTCTTTGGCTCTTTGAGCTTGGTATATGTTGACTGTGTTCCTCCCTTTTGGTTTTCTATTAACATCATAGAAATGAGAATTTATAACTAATTGGATAATTACTTCAGATCAGAGCTGATCACATATCTCATCATGGAGGTGAGCACTACATATTAATAGTTAAACCACTGTGAATTCTGACACAGCCAAGTTGACACAAAACCTTAACTATGACACCTGGCATAGTAAACATGTTAATTGTCATTGAATCTGTGAGTGTTCAATTCAAAATGATCAATACCAATCCATTTCAATTCATTCTTCCTAGGATAACAATTTAAGTGCTCCATTTCATTTTTTTTATCACTTACAATTTTTTTATACTCATACTTTTTACACTGCATGTTTTAGTTATTAGTGGATGTCACACCTGTTTCCCCTAATTTTGAGTCTCATCATATCGGGAAATAAAAATTGTGAAAGCTTTCCTCCATCAATGTCATTAAAGCAGACTCTACTTAGAAGGAGAAGCACTTCCCTAGTCATATTTTGTGTGCCTTACAACCTGAGGGGCTCATTATCTGGCACTATATCAAATAGTATTTCTCTACTGCTATTCATTATATTTTCAGTTGTTTGTTTTTCATAATTAGACAACTTCTTTCGTCTTCTTAGAATGCTTTAGCTTTCAAGCTCTACTGAAACTTGTTCACAGTGAATGAACCTGCTTGTATTTTAAGTATTGCTTTCATAGCTTCCAGCATTACAGCCACATGTAAGACACTGCAATATGACAAACTGAAAAGAAGTGGTTGATTTTGCATGTTTGTCAAGTGGGTTTCAACTCATACTGACTCTGTATAGGGTTTCCAAGGAGTGGCTGGTGAGCTTCAACCGCTGATTTTATTATTCAAACCCACTTTGCAGTCCAGCTCATTAACCTGAGTGGCACACCAGCCCATATAAACTTTCAGTATTGCAACTCAGTGCCTGGGGAATTTTGTTTTTCAATTATTTCAGCTGGAGAAAGACTGAGTACATTCTTCAGTTTTGGTTTTCTAACTCTAGGTCTTTGTACATTTCATTATAATACTTTACTTTGTTTTCCTGAGTCACTCTTTTTTAATCTTTTCAACTCTGTTACCTCATGATTTCTTCTATTTGCTTTAGTTAGTCTATGCCGAGCTGCAAATTTCAGAGTCTTTTCAACATCCATTTTAGGCTTCTCTTCTTTCAGTTCTATTTAATGACTGCTCTCTTCATGTGCGATGTCCTTGATATCATCCAACAATTTATCTAGTTTTTGCACATTAGTGTTCGATGCATCAAATCTCTGAAGATATTTTCTAAGTACAGGTGGGCTATATTCAAGGTTGTAATTTGGCTCTTGTGGACTTGTGTTTTTTGGGGGTTTTTTTTGGCTTCAACTTGAGCTCACTTAAGAGCTATTGGTTTGTGTTCCATAGTTGTCTCCTGGCCTTTTTCTGATTGATATTTTGCTTCTCCATTATTGCTTTCCACAGATGTTGTCACTTAGATACTTGAGCATTTCATCATTTTATGTCCAGGTATATGATCAACATATATGTTGTTGATAAGAGATATTATCAATAAATATAGTGTTAGTCTTGTAAAATTGTATCATGTGATCTTCAGTGTCTTTTCTATCACCAAGATCATATTTTCCAACTATTAATCCCTCTTATTTTTATTTTTTGCATTCCAATTACCATGAATTATCAATGCATACTGACTGTATGTTTGATAAATGTTAGACAGCAGAAATTGGTAAAAAATCTTCAATTTCTTCATCTCTTATATTAGTGTTTGGTGTATAAAACTGGTCTCCATTTAAGCTTATGGATATTATCCTACCACTGAAAGTGGTATACTTCAGGATAAATTTTGAAATCATCTTTTTGACAATGACTGTCATGCCATTTCACTTGAATTTGTCATTCCCAGAATAGAAAATTATCTGATTTTATGATGCAAAACGGCCAGTATCAGTCCATTTCATCTTAGTAATGTATAGAATATTCATGTTCAAACATTCTATTCTGTTCTTGACAGTGTCCAGTTTTCCTAGGTTCATACTTCATAATTCCACATTTCAATTACAAATGGATGTTTGAAGCTATGTATTTTTTTGTCATTTAAAGTCATGCTACATCAGCAAATGAAAATTTTGAAATCCTTGCTCCATCTAAGCCATTAAAGTTTTCTACATAGAGGCAGCTCTTCTCCAATTATATTTTGAGTGCTTTCCAACTTGAGGGACTCATCTTCTGGCACTACATCAAACAATGTTCTATTGCTATTCATAGGATTTTAAATGGCCATTTTTTTTTTTTTTCAGAAGTTGATTACAAGGTTCTTTTTCCAAGTCTATTAGTGTGGAACCTCAGCTGATACCTGTCCTCTATTGGTGACCCTGATGATATTTGAAATAGTAGTGACATCTGTTGTTGTTAATTGTTAAATGCCATCAGGTTGGCTTCAACTCATAGTGAGCCTGTATAGAGTTTCCGAGCAGAAGCTGATGAGCTTGAACCACTGACTTGCAGTTCAAACTGACCTTGCAGTCCAGTGCATTGACCCATACCAGTGATGTAGCTTCCATTGTCACAGTCAGTATAGTACAGCAAGCTGACAAATGAGGGGTGGAAACTGGTAGACCAATGATAATTATTTGAAAGGATGAAATGGAACAGCCACTTGTATTAGTAATTACTAAGTATGACTTTGTGTATTTTACAATTAGTTTCATTTTGGCATTTTGTCAGAATTATTTTCAAGGATTTTATGTGGCTACTCATAATATCTGAAAAAAAAAACACAATAAATCTCATTAATTTAATGAATCTGCTTATCTTTATAGTGAGAATAAGCTATAATTATGCTTGAAAATTGCCATTCTCTTTCCAGTTATTATTGTAAACAACTTAGTATTCATGCATAGTCAATAAACATTGACAGAGACCTGGGAATAATCAGAAGAAAAAGCATATGCTTGCTGCTTCAGAATAACTTGGTCTATTACTAGACACATATCTATGAGCAAGTAATTGCGCCCTACAGAGCTAAGAACAATTTGATGTGGAAGCCCAAGGAGGAGGAAAACCTCTGTCTGGGTCAGAGTATAGGAGGAGTTTTATTTTCTGAATGAAAATTACAAAAGAAGAAAGAAAGAAGAAAATAAGGAAAGGAGAAAAATAAAGAAGGAGAGAGGAAGGGAAGGAACGAAAACATATTTGTAGTTATGTTTACGGATTGGATATTACTATAGAGGCTTCGTAAACATTGTCTTGATTAATCTGTCTTTCAGGTGTTTTTTGTTTGTTTGTTTGTTAACTGCCATCAAGTTGGTTCTGACTAATAGCAACCCTGTATAGGGTTTCTGAGGAGTGGCTGCCTATTATTATTTCATCACAAT